ATTAGGTGCTCACTGTAATTTTTGTAGCTTCATAGGATTTAGTTTGCTAAGGTAGTTAAATGAGTCATAGTACGAATACATGTATTTAATCGATAAAATGCCAAAACATTTTAGGGTTGTAGAACTTAAACATTTTTCGGAAACGAAGCCTTACTTGACAACGCAGATACGTAGCCTAGTACGTTTGTCAGTAGAGCTAGCTCATTAGCTTGCAAAGCGTAATCGTGTTTTTAGGGTTGTGGCTGCCGTTGATTATTTACGTCCCTACGTTACATCCACGAATATCATAATAGGGACAACGATGGATCATGGAGTCGATCGGAGTAACAGAAAAGATGGTGCTTGATGATCATGTCGCCACAATAGAGTGCTAATCCTTAGTTATATCTTGCCCAGGCAAGCCCCAGTGTATAACCTCTACTATTCTGCACTTTATTTTATGTCTGTGCATTAAGTTTTAAGGAATTGAATGAAACCCACTTGCATATACCCTTATCCTATGAGTCTTACTAGTATAGCAGGATCGTATAGATTCCTATGCTATAGGATCCGATAGGAATCGAGTGATTGTCTATCACTCATGAGAGATAGGAAAGATACTATTATTGTCATTGTTATACTACTATCACAATATATATATATATATATATATATATATATATATATATATATATATATATATATATATATCAAAATGATAATTGGAGACCGGGTGAAATGGTACTTGGATCTGGACTTGTTTAGGCATTCGAGTGAGGCTCAGATTGCACTTGTTTCGCCTGTGTCGATTGAGGACCGTCTGTTGCTGTGAATGGTAGTCAGGTCACAGACTTATTATCTTGAACATATACTTGCTTATGGGGCGGGGAGACTTATCACTCTCTTGTCATGGGTTCCGGCTTTTTTGGACCGACTTTTAGGGGTGGGTATTAGGTGGAGGTCTAAGCACAATACTGAGATCGGGTCTCTGGTGTTGGAGGCTTGGAGGCCAAGTTTGAACGGGGATCTGGACCCCTTGATAGGAGTGGGACGAGTTGGTTCTGTTTGTGCCTGTGGTACAAGCGAGGCGTGTGTTTCGGGGTACCCAGCTGGGATACATTTATTCGCGAATCGTCGTTTTTTGAGACGGTACCGACTTGGCTATGGTCTAACACCGTAGTAAGAACTGGGATTTGGAAGGTGATAAAATAATTCTGATTGCTTACCACTTGCTTGAAAGTAGCATAGGAGCTTACCTATAATGATTAGCTAATTAACTACAAACAACTGCTGAAAACTTGGAACATAAGGAAGCACTATTAATAATGCTTCCTGTAAAGGCAATAAAACAGCAAGCCAAATAGCCTTGCATATCCTTGGAGTCTCTTATTTTCTCCTATCGGGTAAGTCTTGCTGAGTACAATTGAGTATTCAGGGTTTTATTCCTCCTATTGCAGGTGACAGGTACAGTTGAGCTACACTTGTGTGTGGAAACCTCCTGGTGGGCTTAGTGGGGATTTTCTGACGTTGCTGACGTAGGTGTTTATTTAAAAATTTTATGAAAATGTTTTACAAAGGAAAAAATTACAACCTGTTATCATCTCCTTGTATTTAAAGGTTCCTCGTAAAGCTCTTAAAATTGTAGTTTATGAATTTTATTTTCGCTGAAACTCTGATCACATATACAATTTCGCTATTGTTTTATGTAATATAAGAAATGGCGAAAAGATGTAAACTTTATACTCTCATTTATGATCCTGACGAAAAAATGTGGAGTTTTGAGTTCATCCACGGGGTGTGTTCGACAGAATTGCAATAGTTTAGTGTTCTCGCTTGAGTACTCGGTGTCTAATAAAAGACAAGTATTCTTGAAAGAGCGTTAAATTAGACGGTTGTGCCACGCATCGAGCCCGCGACGAGCTCTCCAGTCCGCCATAGTAATATCTTGACTCGGAGTGGAGCCCAATGCAAGTCTTCCAAATTAGCCGGTGACCTCTGAACGTAATTGCGTCGCTATGAAGCATGGCGTATGCAGACTTGGCCGAGTATGTACCATCAGGTGTCCATCGCCAAACTAGCCTGTCCGGCTGATCGCTCAGGTTGATCTGTTCCAGGATGTTCGATAGCTCCAGGTACTCCTCAATAGCGGATTGGGAAAGACCGCCGGAGATGACGCGCGCCCATTGTCAGTTAGTTAGCGCCTCCCTTACTTATTGCCGTTGCCGGACTTGGTTTGGGACTAGCTGGTAAAGGTATGGAGCGAGGTCGCTAATGCCATCCCCCTCGATCCACTTGTCTTCCCAGAACAAGGCCGTTCGACCATCTCCGATCATGAAGTAGGTTGAAGCCCGGAAGAAGGCCTTAACCTCGGGGGCTGTTTTGATCGGCAGTGAGCTCCACGCCCGATCTTGATCTGTCTTTTCTAACCAGAGCCATCGAGTTTGCAGTGCGTACCCCTGTAGCTTCAAGTCGCTGACGCCCAGACCGTCTAGCTCTGTTGGCTTGCAAACCGTCAGCCAGGCTACCATACATTTCCCACGGACAGAAGCGTCACTGCCAACCCAAAGACACTTCCGGCATATGGCATCAATTTCCTTCCTTGCCCAGGTTGGAAGGTTTTCTGCCATCATTGCATATATTGGGACTGCGCGCAGCACTGATTTGATCCATACAAGACGTCCACTTCTTGCCATGAGTGAACCATGACAGGGGTAGCTTCCTTGCCACTGCCTCAACGACTGACTGAAACTGCGCTTTTGGAATTGGCCTGATGCTCAGAGGGAGGCCGAGATATTTGAGTGGGAACGGCTGCACTTTACATCCGAGTATGTTGATTATCTCTTCCAAGGCGTCTTCACCACCATAGATTGGAGTAATGGAGCATTTGGCCAGGTTGGTCTTTAGGCCGGAGGCTTCCCCGAAAATGGACAGAATCTCTTTCACCGCTTTGCCTCCTGGACGATTGACCGGATGAAGAGGATCACGTCATCAGCGTAGATGCTGCACTGGTATTTGATCTCCGGCAGCTCTACTCTTCTGAGTACCCCATCTCTGCATGCTTGAGGAAGAGCCTATGCAGGATGTCCATAGCGATAACGAAGAGCAGGGGCAACAGGGAGTCTCCTTTGGCGTACCCCTCTGAGATGTGCTATTGGAGGCCCCTGATGTCCATCTGGGCGAAGCCGTGCTTAGTAGGGTCGCTATCCACCTCCGCCAAGTAGCGCCAAAGCCAATATTCATATATTTTAGCGAGTAGGACATCTGAATAGGAGTAAAGGCTAATTGAAGCGAAATTAGGCCTCCACTCCTTTGTCCTATCAACATTTTAGCTAGTGACTAGTGTTCTTCTTGTCCATCAAGATAACGCCATAAACAATCTACCGACGGTAGAGCATCTCCAAGAGTTTTCTATTTTTTTCTCCTAAAAACTTGTAGTTTGGTAACTCCTAAAAAGATTGGGGGAGGAAAAAAGAAGGTCATCTCCAAAAATTTCTAATAAATGACATCTAAAAACATCTACGTACATCGCACAAGCCAGTGAGCAGTGAGTGAGTGTGTCAGAGATTGATCGGAGCAAGCAAGGAAGCAAGCAAGTGTGCCGGTGGGGTACCTGAACGCCGGACCAGCCCTTGGCGACGTCGTCGGCCTGGCTGTCAGACTCGTTGGCCCATGCCCACAAAGACGCGCCGCCTGCGTGCGCGCGTCGAAGAAGGTCTTGGGCCGCGTGCACGTGGTCAGTAGTCCGGCCCCGCCGCCAGCGCGCACGCGTCGTCGTCGCCGCTCGGGCTCACCGCACGAACGCTTCACCACGCCGTCGTCTTACGCCCCACCATGTAGTAGTCCCGGGCGTGTCCATCACGCCAGCACGTCGCAGCCGCACTTCGCCGCGCTTTCGCCCGCGCGTCGAGCCCGACGTTATCACCGCGCCAAGCACCGGAACAGTCCCGGCACTCCACCATGCCATGGCGGCGCGTGAGGCTTGCAGCGGCGCGGTGGTGGCGCGCTCCCAGCGGAGGAAGTCCGCGCTCTGGTACACGAGCGTGGATGCCACGCCGCGGACCTCGGCGGACACCGCGACACGCCACAGCTCGTCGTCGCCGAGGGAAGGATACGCGGAGTCGGAGGTGCGCGCAAAGTTACGCGGATTGGCTCGGCTTTTTCGAAGTGCCTAAATTTTAGGAGTGAAGATTAGGAGTTGTTGGAGAGGGGTTTTTCTCCATCTTTCTAAAAAAATAAAAATCAAGAGAGGATTTAGAGAACTTTTAGAGATGCTCTAAAACACAGACTACACTAGGTGACCGCGAAACGCCATGGTCACACGGAGGTGGATGGCGCATCCCTTGAACTACCTTAGTTTGATAGGCTTTTGAGTGAACTTTACTCCCTCGGAGTGTCACTATTAGTAGATAGTTTTGTACTTTTGGTTGCTATTTTTTTATGCTAAATTTGCTCGGGACACATTTGTTCTTATGGAATTATTATACTTGATCTTAAACTCTATGGGTAATTCTTTCTAGTCTAGCTAGTCTCGTCGACTTAATTTTGGTAAACCTATGCTTGCAGGGATTACATGTCGTAACCTTCTCTTCTCCGTAGTAAGGCCCCGTTTAGATCCAATTTTTTTTGTTTGGCCTACTGTAGCATTTTCGTTTGTATTTGGCAATTAGTGTCTAATTATGGACTAATTAGGTTCGAAAGTTTCGTCTCGTGATTTCTCACCCAACTGTGTAATTAGTTTTTTTTTCGTCTACATTTAGTACTCCATGTATCTACCGCAAAATTTGATGTGATGGATACTGCGCAAATTTTTTTGGGTTTTGGGAACTAAACTGACCCTAAAACGTGTTTGCACGGGCGCGGAGGGAGAAAAAAAAGACAGCCTACTCGCACCGGTTTGGTTTATGAACCGTTGGACTCGAACCCGACTAGCATCGACTCAGCCGCCACCTCGCCAGTCCTCCCCTCACCTTCTTGCGCCGGAAGAAGGAAACGCCGGCGATTCCAACCCCAGCCAGGCGGAGATGGCGGAGCCATCGGCCTCCTCCGCGGCCGCCACCGCCGCCGCGGAGCAGACGGACGCGGAGAGGATGGATGCCCTGGACCGGATGCTCATGCGGCTGGCCCTCGCCGACGACGCGCGCCTCGCGCCGGTGCTCGCCCGCGTCCTCCCCTACGCCGTCACCTCGCTGGCCTCCCCCGCGCCGGCCGTCCGAAAGCTCGTAAGCGCACCGCTCTTGTCCCCTCTCCTCCAGTCCTTACCCGATCCGAATTTCAGGGAGAGACATTCGTGCCGCTCGTCCTATTCCCCTCAGTTGGTTTAGTTGGTTCCTTCGTGATGTTATGTATTGGATATTGCTCATGGGGTGACATGTGAGAGAGAAGTTTTAGGTTCGGGCGTGGCACAACTGAGAGCGTTGTACCTATTATGTCTGCGGCAGTTGCTTCTATTAGTTTCTTCAGAGGGAAATTGCTTGTATTATTAGTGGCTGGCTCATACAATTACACGATTAACACATTCTCTGTAGTCTTAGCTGTTTATTTTGTACTAGGACTACTAAAAAAAAAATACTTGGCCTCCTTTCACGTGGTGCCCTGCTACTAGCCTACTAGTAGTCACTAGTCAGTACTATATTTTTTTGGTTTAAGTTTTGTATGGGCCTTTCTAACGTTATGTGGTTTTATTTTTGGGTTTCATTAGGTTATGGAAATTCTTAGTCACATTAACAAAAGGGTGAAGCACAGGCCTGAGATTTCATTGCCAATGCTGGAGTTATGGAAGATCTATACTGAATCTACTTCCGCAACAATGGTCCGAAACTTTTGTATCATATATATTGAGATGGCGTTTGAGCGCCTGCCAACCGAGGTACTCTCTTTTCCTTTGCTAGTCTCTAGTTTTCTCTAGTGCTGCTTCACCATTTCTGCAAAGTTGACTGTGTCAACTTACCATTCTGTAACAGGAGAAAGGGAACATCGCACCTGATCTTTTAATCAATATATCAAATGTTCCAGCCCAGCATCAAGGGATCATCTTGAGACTTGTAACAAAGGTCACCCTTTTATTGAATGTCTTGTAAAGTGCTGTTTGTATCATCCTTTTTTTCCTTTGCGTCTCTACATTCTGTAGCACTCGCATGTTTTTTCCTTACAAAAATTGCATCTATATTAGTCAGGCTATTGGCGAATATAACACCCATAAGGCGGACGAGACTATTGCGTCAAAATATCAAGTAATAACTGAAACCAAGGATGGTCTAGTATTTGCTGAATTCTGTTTTCACACATTATTGTATCAAGCACCACCTCAAGGGTACGTATTCCTTGCTAAATTAGGTAAAACCATAGAACACAATTTGAGCGTCGGACATTTGACTGCTATTGAATTGTACAGTACTGGATGCCCAGCAGGACTGTCAGTTGCCCAATCAGAACGTGTCACCAGAAAACAACCCCTAAAAATCGACGTACTTGCATCAAGAAAGGTAATTAAAAATGTGTAATCATGTCTGCACAACAGCACAAGTGCACATACATATCTTAGTTGTTACTACCTGCACAATGCGCTTGGTCTTCTCATGGTTGAATTTCTTGTTCAATCTCTTCAGCTAGGAATCTTGAATGTCATTGAAGCTATGAACTTCGCACCTGAGATTGTGTACCCTCTTTATTTATCTGCTTCTTCAGATAGGTATTCTATTTTAGAATTTTGTCTAAAATATGTTGGAATTTTACGTGGACCGATAATCATGCTAACCACTATCTTAGTACAGCCAAGAGCCAATTTCTAAGAAAGGAGAAGAGTTCTTAAAGCGCAAAGCTTCAACAGTAAATTTAGAAGATCCGAACCTTATCAAGAGACTGTTCACATTGTTCAATGGTATGTACTTTGCATTTTCTTGGGTTTTGATCAATGCAGTTTAAATTTCAATTAGAGTACTGTCACTATGCTCGTCTCTTGCTATCTATGTGTTGTGTTATAGTCTGAATACTTAGATGCGTTTCTATCAATTGGTGTTGTTTTAATTGTGGTTTCATTTCTTTTTACGTGTTGGTTTTTATGGTCCATTGGAGAGAATGCATATGTGAGTGGATGATTGCAAACCTGTTCTCATTATTATGCAGCCCTTCTTGAACTCCCAAACCCACCTTTCACAAGTACCCATATAGATGACTACATATGTCCACACAATTGGCTGCCCACTGACATGGTTGAATGCCAGCAGGCTGAACACATGCGTAGTTGAATGCTGTGCACACTTGTGTGGGCACTTCTTATTCTTCTTTGCCATTAAGAAATTGATAGTTCCATTGCATGTGACCCCTTTGTGTTTTTATCTGTCACTTTGTATCTAAATATTTTGTGGTAAGTCTTGCTCCATGATAATGTTCTCTTGTGAGACAGGTACTGTGGGTGCAGAAAATATAGCTGCAGAGCTGAAAGTTTCCCCAGCACATGCTTCGTTGCGTATGCGGCTTATGAGTGTTTTCTGCCGATCAGTTGCTGCAGCAAATGCATTTCCACACACACTTCAATGCATCTTCAGCTGCATCTACGGTATTCTGTTTTGTACCCCACCTCTTTTTAGTTTGCGTTTAATTGGTCTTATCCCTTCTGATGCCTAATTGTTACATTGTAACTTTTGTCTTACTGAACATAGATGTGTATTGAAGATGAAGCTGATTTTTTTTTGGTTGATGTTTCACTGTGTTTTTGTTTTTTACCCTAGTCATTGGAATAAACTGCGACATCTTACACAACACTACTTTAATCAAGGGTCATGGTCAACTGAGATTCAGACATTTTATTAATTCTGCTCAAGGATCATGCTCATTACGAATTACCGGGGAATTAAGTTGATGAGCCATACTATGAAGCTATGGGAGAGAGTTATCGAGCATCGCTTGAGAGCAATAACGCGGGTCTCTATGAACCAATTTGGTTTCATGCCTGGAAGGTCAACCATGGAAGCCATTTTCTTAATAAGACAAGTTATTGAGCGGTATAGGGAAAAGAAGAAGGACCTACACATGGTTTTTATTGACTTAGAGAAGGTTTATGATAAAATACCAAGGAATGTTATGTGGTGGGCTTTGGACAAACATAAAGTCCCAACGAAGTACGTCGGGCTCATTAAGGACATGTACAACAATGTTGTGACTAGAGTTCGAACAAGTGATGGAGATACGGATGACTTCCCGATTAGGATAGGACTACATCAAGGGTCAGCTTTGAGCCCTTATTTGTTTGCTTTAGTGATGGATGAGGTCACAAGGGACATACAAGGGGACATCCCTTGGTGTATGCTTTTCGCGGACGATGTAGTGCTAGTTGATGAAAGCCGGACAGGAGTGAATCAGAAACTGGAGTTATGGCGGGAGACTTTGGAGTCCAAAGGTTTTAGACTCAGTAGAACTAAAACTGAGTATATGAGATGTGACTTCGGCACTACTACTCGGGAGGAGGAAGATGTTAGTTTGGAAGGTCAAGTAGTGCCTAGGAAGGATACCTTTCGATATTTAGGATCAATGCTACAGAGTGACGGGGATATTGATGAAGATGTTAGCCACGTAATCAAAGCGGTGGTGGATGAAGTGGCGGCAAGCGCCTGGTGTCCTATGTGACAAAAGGGTAGCACAGAAGCTAAAAGGCAAGTTTTATAGGACGGCGATTAGACCTGCTATGTTTGTATGGTGCGTAATGTTGGCCTCACTGAAAAGACGACATGTTCAACAGCTAAGTGTCGCGGAAATGCGTATGTTGCGTTGGATTTGCGGTCATACAAGAAGGGATCGAGTTCGGAACGATGATATACGTGATAGATTAGGGGTAGCGCCAATTGAAGAAAAGCTTGTCCAACACCGGTTGAGATGGTTTGGACATGTGCAACGGAGACCTCCAGAGGCACCGGTGCGTAGTGGAATCCTAAGCCAGGATAGTAACGTGAAGAGAGGCAGAGGAAGACCGAAGTTGACTTGGGTAGAGGCAATAAAAGGAGACTTGAAAGGATGGAATATACCCAAAGACTTAGCCTTAGATAGGAGTGCTTGGAAGACAGCTATTCACGTGCCTGAACCTTGATTGCTTCTGACGGGTTTCAACTCTAGCCTACCCCAACTTGTTTGGGACTTAAAGGCTTTGTTGTTGTTGTTGTTGTTGTAAGGATCATGCTCATCGTGGTTCCAGAAAGCATTTCCGTTGGCCTCGATGAGTTAGTGTTTGGTCTTTGTTGTTCTTAATGAGATTATGCACTGGCATTTCGAACTCATATTTCTGTGAACCTATTATTACTAATAACTCTGTCTCCCCATTCTTACATTTCATTGTTGGTAGAACCATCCTTTTGCTGTTTCGATAAGATAATAACTTGTTGGTAGAACCATCCTTATGCTGTTTCGATGAGGTAATGACTTAACTTCACCATTTCGGTATGTTACTAAATCTGTCTTATCTTTCATTGTGTTTCGCCTGTAGGAAGTGGAACTACTTCAAGGCTGAAGCAGTTAGGAATGGAGTTCACTGTCTGGGTTTTCAAACATGTATGTATGTGCACTTCGCATGTTCTAACAAGGAGTAGCTTAACTTCTAGACTTAGTGACTTCTGTTGCTTTTAATTTGGCCACCTATGGTAATTCTTTTGCTCCATTTTTAAACTAATGTAATTTATGATGTAATTGTTAATTTAGGCAGTAACTGACCAGCTAAAGTTAATCGGTCCAGTTATACTTAGTGGAATATTGCGCTCCCTTGATGGTTCTTCAACTGCAGAAACAGGTCTTTCAACTATTTATCAGCTTTATCTATTCAGATCTAAATGTGGTTTATCTTTGATTTTTTATGGTTTGTTGAGATAATTGTTGATGGCCAAATTTCCAATATTGAAATGATTGAAAAACATTGAACATGTATTGATTTTCTTCTCCTCCAGATTCTACCGGTAGAGATACCAAAATATTTGCCTACCAGGCTATTGGTTTGCTTGCCTCTCGCATGCCAAATTTATTCAGGCATGATATTTTCTTAAAACTTTCTTGGCTCTTGTTTCATTTATGTTATATTAAGGAATGACATTTCTACCTCTATTACATTGCAGTGATAAAACTGACATGGCTATACGACTCTTTACTGCTTTGAGATTGGAGGATCAATCTCTTCGTTTGACAATTCAAGAGGCGGCTACTTCCCTTGCTACAGCATATAAGGTAACTCTGGAGAGCATGTTGCTTTCTACAAAGTGTGCTTCACAAAGATGATTTTAAATTGTAACTAGTTGATCATTTATACAGTATTTTTTTTTGGTTTAAATGGTTGATGCAACTTGTAGATGCTAGATTATTGTAAATGGTTGATGCAAATAAGTCCATATTAAAACCTTTTGGAGGCAAGGAGACTTCAAAATATGTCTAGGCAGTTTCCATTTTTGAACTTCTGATCTACTCTCAGAGACCTTACCTAGTTACCTTAATAATTAATATTGTTACTTTGATAATACTTAGGTCCTGTTTCGATGTTGTAGTTTTTAGAGACCAGAGATATGCAAAACCACTGTTTTGCAAAAAGATGTCTAGAGTAGAGTTTCTATAACTCCAAAAGGCTACAGTTTTAGCAGTATCATGTTTTTCAAAACTACAAGGTTTGTTGTATGCAAACACCTCAAAGTTTTCTGAAACTAATGTATTTCGTAAAACCATGGTATTTTTTTCGTCTAAAACTCCAAAAATACTTTGCATCCAAGCCTTAGGGTTCACAATTACATATCAACCCAGTGGCATTTCATGTGTGTTGGCAACCCTTTATGCTATTGCTCGCAAGTAATAAGTGAGCTTCAATACATTAGAATGTAATTGATGCTTATCTAGCAGGATAAGTGTTTCACAAAAAAAGGATATTTTAGTGTGCACATAAGATAGAAACAACATAAAACACAGATTTTCTATCATCCAGAACAGAACCAATAGCAATTGGGTACTGTGTTTTCATTTTGCAACATTTTTGCATAGCTTTGTTCTATTTGCTGCATCATGACTTTACCATGATATCTATGCATCCAATTTTTCTCTAGCTTTAATTAGAGAATTGTCAGTTAAGTTTATTCTCTTTTTTCTTGACCTTAATATCAGCGTGCTGCAACGATAGTACTGAAGGATCTTGAGGCGCTTCTTCTGGAAAATTGTGAAGCGGTAAAGTTGTTCTTAACATCATAGGTTCTCAAACCACTATTGTGCTAATCCTTTGTTCTCAACATTTATATATGGTTTCATCGTTGGTGATAGTTTTGAATGCAAATAAATTTTAGTACGAGGGCCGCAAGTTCAAAACCTAAGTCCATGCTTTAGGAACTTGAAGGCAGGCCCATGCTCCATTTGCTAAACAATAGTGCAATTATTCAAAACAATCTGTAAAGCTCATTACCTGATGTATCAGGTGAATATTGCAAAATAACCAAGTAAATTTATCCAGGGTTATTGACCAGTTCATGTGAATAGAAAAACACCTTCTCTTCACCAAATCAGTTTGATTTTCTGAATATGATATTTCGATTTAGATTTATTCCAGCCACTAGTACTATTAAAGTATTATGCAAAAGAAGTTAAAAGTTCAAACAGCTGGTCTCAGAACAAATTTCTGACCAAGTTTTTACTTCAAATAACCATGCCAAATTTTTAGTATTAGGAGAGGTTTAAGATTTTAGTTTTTAGTCTGAGATATGCTCATAGCCACCTAGGCAAGAAGTCAGATTTTTTATCCTTCAACTATGGCTCAAATTCTCAGTTTAGATCTCATCTTTGGAGTCGAAACATAACTTTTTCCCACCCTTTTCTTAGATCACAAGTGCATTCGTATCTCATGTACAGCCTTGAGAACTTATCGCTGATGGCTTACTTTGTCATACTTTCTATCTGCGGCAGTTTTTATGGGGTGGCTATTTTTCTTGTGGTTTTGGTGATACTTGAAACTCCTATGGAGTAGACATGGGCTTCCAGCAACACCTGTTTTTATTATATGTAGACTAATTATTCCCAAATTGCAATATCTTATCATCTCTAAGGGCCTAACCAAAGGATTTCTATGCTCTTATTTTAAATTTTGCATAATTGCTTGATCTTACACATTTTTGTTATATATTTTTTTGAATTTTTTTCTCAATAAAGGAGCAAAGTGAGGTTCGCTTTTCTGCTATAAGATGGGCAACAACATTATACGATACATGGCACTGTTCAAGCCGGTACATTTGCATGATTGGGGCTTCAGATGTTAAACTGGACATAAGGTTGGTTACAAAAGATATTGGATATACATTATTTTGGCATAATGCTTTGATGTTGTGGTTGCTTTTCTGTACTGTTATAGTAGCGCGGTCACAGGTAGCTCCATATACTTTGTAGTCCACATCACTTGGGAAATATATATATTTTTAGAAGTTTCCAAACATCAAATGTCCCAACATTGTTGATGCTTTTAGTATTCGTTATAACTTTTTTCTAGCTATGTATCCATGTAATTAACCATAAGGTTCACTCATTTTGTAAAAGTTGCCCTATTGCTATGCATGCTTAACTTTATATCCTGCAGAGTGCAGGCCATATTGGCATTCTTCTCTTTTCCTATACAAGTATACAGTATTCATGCGATTAGCATTTTTATTTTTTTATTTTTTTTGGAATTGCAAGTTGAATATAAAGACTTCATTGTCATTTGTATGAGGTGACGCTGTATATTATCATAGACTTGTAGTTATACTTGTCACTTATGAGTCAGTAAAACCATTAGATTGATTTCAGATTGTAAAATCTGCTAGATCAATAACTGTTCACCTGACTCAATTTCATAAACCCTTTTTGCTACACTCGACAAATGTTTCTCATGTCCTTTAGATGGATGAAAGTAGCAACGTCCTTCAGTTCTGACATTTTCAAATGACTAGAGAATAATTGGTGATCTTGCTTTGGCATTTGGTACAATACATTTTTGTGAACAAGAAACCATTATGATGCTGATACTTCAGCAGATTTTATCAATGCATGCCTTTTTTAACTTGTACATGTTTAGCCATCTATGTATCCTTCTCTTATTAGTTTTGTTGTCACAGGGAAATGGCTCTAGCTGGTCTAAATCTTATGAATGATGGGAGGCAATCATCTGCAGGGTCTGGTGATTTCAGCTATCCTGATGTAAAGGAGATGATAAATTATATCTGCTGTCAGCGACCTCAGTTGCTGCATTCTGATGAGCAGAGAAATGGAAAATTACTTTTCCCTTCAAAAACATTTGTTTCATTGATCAAGTTTCTGATGAAGTGCTTTGAGTCTAGTGATAGCTCAAATCTTTTGCAAGATCCATCTGATTCTGCTGTAGCAAAAATGTGTGTCATCTTAGAACATGCCATGTCATATGAAGGGTCTAGTGAACTGCATGCGCTGGCCTTGAAGTCATTGGTTGAACTTTCTTCTCGTGAGCCAAAGGTTTCCATTTGGTGCCGTTTATTAAAATAAACTTCATGTTTTCCTTTTCCTCAGTTTTTTTTTTTAAACTTGCACTTTATACTTGCAGTTGGTGTCATTGCGGTATGCAGAACGCATAAATTGGCTAAGAACTCTTTTGGGTCATGTTGATTCTGATGCTCGTGAAGCTGCGTCACGCCTGCTTGGTATTGCTTCTTCAGCTCTTTCAACCTCTTCTGCACCAAGTCTTCTGTCTGAGCTCACTTCAACACTGAGTCAAAGCCGTCCATCAAGGTATGAAAAATGAAAACTTTAAGACTGACATGTCCTTTGTGTTGCCACACAACTTCTGATTCATGTGACTATTTGATGAATTTGGCCAGATTTGAAAATTACCATGGAGTTCTGTGTGCGATCGGGTACCTAACAGCTGGTGCTTTGAAGCAATCTTATGTACGCTCATTTTATTCATCTCCTAACTTTGTAGCTTGTTTACTGATTTCATTCTCTGATGTGTCTTTATCTGAAATTTGGCATGGTCTCTTAGATTGCTCTGCCTTGAAACTGCATCTTGAATATACTTATCATATTTGCTAGAGTGACTTGATATTGATACTGTTAGAATTATGGTCCATGAGAACCTGTATGTTACTCTGGTATTAGTAGTTGGAGAGAGAAATCGAGTAACATGTGGCGGAATGTATGTTTATCTAATATGGGGAAGGAAGAGAGTAACACTTTTCTTATTACAAGTCAAAATACTTTATATTGGGAGATTAAAAGGAAGTATGAAGAACACATTTCTGATTTATTTGTGTCACATCAATATTTGATTATTTTCTCAAAACAACAGAAGTACAGAACATTGCTAGATTTCTTTTTAAAAAAATTTCTCTCATATTCTTCATCTACACTTTGTTGAGCATCAATGCTTGGTTGTGCAAGTCAATAGATAGCTTTGCTAAACATTACTTCCTCCTTTCCAAATTATAAGACGTTTTGGCTTTTCTAGATTCTAGATACGTTGTTTTTTATATGTATTTAGACATAGTGTATAGCAAAGCTACATATTTAGGAAAGCCAAAACGTCTTATAATTTGGAATGGAGGGAGTATAGCACTCCTAGAAAGGGTTGTTGGAATCCCGCTGGTCTGCACAGGTGAGCAGCAGCTCACTCACACACACACACACACACACACACACACACACACACTTTGGGCTGGTGGTAGAAGAAGAAGTTGAGCACAGCACACTCACGCACAGCAAGTGCAGCAACTGAACTGAACTAGGACTGCTGCTGCACTACACTTGCTTGCAGATGTTTCTGGACAGCAGCAGATTATCTTACAAGGGTGGCCTATTAGTGTTGGAAGCAAGGGCTATAACTGCACAACTGTAGAAGAAATATCTGCACCATTACCCCCACAAGTAACTAGCCCCTAGCGTTAGTGAGCCAAAACTATAACTTTTTTTTTCTTGAACATGCAGGAGAGCTGCATAAAATTATATTAAGAAGAGAGAAGGAGTTTGAACTTTGGAGAAATCTTAACACACACCCACTCACTCCTAGGCTTATGAAAACAGATGCGCTAGTGCTAGATTGGAGCCAAAACTATAACTGGACCTGTCTGATAGATGTCTAATTTTTATGTTTTGGATACTTGTGCCCACTTCACAAGTTTGACTGCCTATGATGCAATTAATTTGGCTACCATCATGTGGCTTAGAAAACTTTCTTCCTAACACATTATTTTTATGAATGCAACTAATTTGTATGTTTTTCACTTGAAGTTTTTTAATTTTGTTGTATTTGGAGTGCATATGCAGATATCTGAGGATATGGTAAAAAATGTAGTTGATATTCTTGTAAAAGTAGTTATCTCTGAAGGTTCGACATTAGCATCTGTTGCAATGGAATCTCTTGGTCACATTGGTCTGCGTTGTGCATTGCCTTCCATCAACCAAAACTCTTCTACAGGTTAAACTTGTTAATCAAACCTATACTGCTTATGAGTTGTGCTATTCACCATCTATGATGCTATTTATTTTAATTATTTTTGCCTTCAGGTACACTATTAAGCGTTCTCCGTGAGAGGCTGACTAAGCTTCTTTCTGAAAATGACACTAAAGCTCAACAGAAAATTCTTGTATCATTGGGGCACATATCTTGGAATGAGATGTCCTTTCCTCACCTGAATGATGCATTAGACTTGATTTTTAGCCTTTCACGTTCTAAGGTAGTGGCACAAAAATCCAAACTTTGCAGCTAAAATATTACCACTATTCTTTGGAATAAATAATAACATTCTTAAATTATGCTTGTTCAGGTGGAAGATGTACTTTTTGCTGCGGGGGAGGCTTTATCTTTCATATGGGGAGAAGTTCCTGTGACAGCAGATGTGATACTGGAGACGAACTTTGTTTCCCTTTCCCAGGCCACAAACTATCTTACCGGTGATGCATCTCTAGTCTCGAGTAACTCCTATGAAAAAAGTGCTTGTGAAGAAGCACACTCAGTTGCACGAGACGAAATTATTAAAAAGTTGTTTGAAACACTAATTTATAGCAGTAGAAAAGAAGAACGCTGTGCAGGTACTGTCTGGTTGGTCTCACTGACGATGTACTGTGGCCGACATAAAAAAATCCTAGAACTACTTCCGCAAATCCAGGTTTGTCAACCAAGAATAAGATACCTAGATTATTAAGGTGACCTTTGTACATTTTTAAACTTTCTCTAAACTGCCTCAGTGCATTAGAATCTGTAATCATTATACTGTGATGTCCATATGGTATTTTAGTGCCAGTAATCTACAGTGATTTAGGCATGGAAGCTAACTTTGAGTAGAAGTACATTATATGTGTACCCCACTTAAAAACTGAACTAGCTTTCGATTCATTTTGGGAGTTCTTACTAGGGTTTATGTGCCAATCTATGACTGTATTTCAAATTTGCGCTTTCGTGTGGTGCCAAAAAATAGACATAGGGTATCTCACCTTTTGATTGAAGTGAGCTGAACTGCTTATGCATATACTGGTGAAATATACTTCTTTTCTTCAGCTAGCACAGTTGTTGCTTGGAGGATATAGGTCACCTTTAGTTTTAGTTTAGTCTAATATTTGATTGCTTTATTTGTTCAGATAGTCATTTAATGTTCCCACCAGAGTTCTTCCTTCTTTATTGACAAATGTAAATTTCATTTCTTTCGCAGGAAGCCCTTTCACATCTTCTTGGTGATCCAAATGAGCTTACGCAAGATTTGGCATCTCAAGGCATGAGTATTGTGTATGAGCTTGGTGATGCATCTATGAAAGAGGAGCTGGTTCATGCTCTGGTGAACACACTGACTGGCGCTGCAAGAAAGAAAAAAGCCATTAAGGTTCATGATTTTTCTCAATTATATATTTTTTCCTTAGTTGATAATGTTTCATCCGAAGGTAATTATGTTTTATGCACTTGCATTAGTTGATGGAGGATTCCGAGGTCTTTCAAGAAGGCACAATTGGCAATAATCCTACTGGAGGGAAACTTAGCACGTACAAGGAGCTGTGCAGTCTTGCCAATGAGATGGGGCAACCTGACCTGATATACAAGTTCATGGATCTAGCTAATTATCAGGCTGCTCTCAATTCTAAAAGGGGTGCTGCTTTTGGATTTTCCAAGATAGCCAAACAAGCTGGCGAGGCACTTCAACCTTATCTGCATACCTTAATTCCTAGGCTTGTCCGTTACCAACACGACCCTGATAAAAACATCCAGGTATCTAAGTTTGCACACTCATCACCATATGTGCCATTTTCTATGTTTCCTTTTTGTTGGACTGAAATTAAACTATTTGGTTGACAAATGTACTCTTGTAAAACTACTTATAACCATGTAATATAGTCAGTATGATGTTGCCATTCTTTTCATATGAGAAAGTAAGAAGCTGATGTGCTAAGCAAGTAATGCATCAAACAGCTCGACTAGTTAAGCATAACTTGACATTGATTTCCTTAGTTTAGTACATTTAAGTTATGCTGGTTTATTAAGGCACTATGATGACTTTCAGCATTATAACTAAACACTCTGTTTCCACATTGTGTTAGTTATGCTATACTGTTGTATACTTTTCTATCCTGTAATCAGATTGCAGATAAGATTTCCTCATGTTTTTCTTGTTGTTGAGAAAATTTATATTAAATTTATTTAAACACTGCATGAATTTTGCATTATAACTCATTGAGATTAGCTTTATACCACAATAATAGTTTTCTAGTAGTCAATGTACTCCCATGCACAATCATAGTTCCAGAAATCATTATTTTCAAGTATCCTTTACTGTGAGTAGCAAGGTTTTGGTATAATGAACATCCATGCAACTAGTGCTTGAAATTAAGTAAAACGTGGCCTTGGAACTCGGATCAGAAAAATAGATCAAACATATCTACTGATGAGTAACTGATATACATGTCAGCAGTCCTCTTATCCTTAAGAGGGTCCCTCTCAGCAATCAGTTATTGCACTGTTTTCTGGTTGTCATTGATATACATCAATAGGTTATCTTATTGCATTCATATTTCTTAATAAGCTCATAGAGCCTTTCTTCGGAGCTAATAGTTCCAGCTGCACCTTTTAGGATTCAATGGTACACATCTGGAAGTTAATTGTTTCAGATCCGAAAAAAGCAATAGATGAACATTATGATGCCATAGTAGAGGATCTATTGGTTCAATCTGGATCGAGGCTTTGGCGCTCACGAGAAGCATCCTGTCTTGCACTTGCAGACATCATCCAAGGTCGAAGATATAGTCAGGTAACATTCATGGTGTTATGGAAATTCTGAATAGCTCAATATTTCATTTGACATGAGCTATATTAAAGTGTTTGTATGAATCTGACTTTGAATTTCTTTTCAGAACAATTACAACTCACCTTTTTATTTGTTCTTTAGGTTTGTAAACATTTGAGAAAAATATGGACAACCACCTTCCGTGCAATGGATGACATAAAGGAAACTGTGCGAACTGCTGGTGACAGTTTGTGCCGAGCCGTAAGCTCTCATTGACAATTAGGCTCTGTGATATATCACTAACTTCTACTTCTGATGCAAACGAAACAATGAACATTGTGCTGCCATACTTGCTTTCTGAGGGCATACTCAGTAAAGTTCCAAGTGTTCAAAAAGCTGCTATTAGTTTGGTCATGAAGCTTGCTAAGGTATATTGATGGTAAACTTTAACAAGTTTAGTTGCAATATCTGCCATAATGAGTTATATTGAAACCATGCGATATTTCACCAAATTCGATGAATTTTTTCTCTGACAATTGTGTTTCAACTCTAACATACTGACCACTGAGTGAACAATAGATCATAGAACTTTATCTCTATTCATATCCTAATCAAACATTGAAGTTCCTCAAGGTGGTATCGAAGAGAAACTTTCTATTACCTCTACTTTCTAAGCAATTTCATATGTTTATTCTTTTTTTTTGAAACAAAAGGCAGGAGCTCTGCCGCTCAATTGAGCCGAAAGAATATTATGTACAAGAAGGTTAGCCGGACGAGATTCCAGAAAGGCACCCGAAGGGCAAACCACCCCACGCGACGTAGCTGAGCACAAACACGACACACTGCCATGGGTCATCGTTGCCGAGCATGGAAGCCAAGCTGCCAGCAGCTCCGACTTCCCATGGCAGGCTACCCACTAGTCACCCCCGGACGGGTCTGGAGCTAATGGCCGCCACCGGTCATCGTTGCCAAGCTCAAACACCGAAGAGCAGCTCCGACTTCCAAACGCAAGCCATCGCCCCGCATCGAAACCGCGACAATAATTCAAATGCGACGCCTTCAGGAAGGGAGTGACGCCAATGGTGTCACCGTCGCACGTCCAAAGTGGACTGAGTTTTCACCCTTGTGCTAGTGGGGAAATACGACGGCCCCCAACAGGGAAGCGGCGCCCAACGGCGTCGCCGTCGCCAAGGCTTTCGCCCAAGAACCCTCTAGCACACTCGCCGGGTCACGAAGTCGGACCCGTGCCAGCCTTTACCGCCATCGCCGTTGTCCCGGCGCCCCATGGAAGCCCCTTAAGAGGGGCATCGACGCGCCGGTTGCACGTAGCAGCCGCACAGCTGCGTCGGCCGCCACCCCCTCCGACCGGGCCACGCAGAGCCGGACCTGACTCTGCCGCTCGCGTCACACCGCCGCACGTCGAGGCCGCATTTGACGGCACCTGCCGATGTCGCTGCCGTCATCACCGCCAGTGTGCCCCACCATGTCGGGCTCCGCCCCATGTCCTGGGGCCGCCGAATCTAGACGCCAGGACCCGAATCCGGCGCCCCCTGCCGACTCCAACGCCTCCGTCTTGACCATAGCTGCAGACACTGTTCACCTTGGTCGCCAGAGGTCGCTGCCCCGGGCACAACCAGCCCCTGAGCCGCAGCAGCCAAGGCCATGAGGGGAGGGACGGCAGAGAAGAAAGCACCGCCCCCAGCGCATGCATGGGCCCCGGCCACCGCCGTCGCCGCCGCAACCGCCGCCGGCAGCCAAGACAGATCCGGCAGCCTGGGGTCCGAATCTGGCCCCTCGGGCACCGGATCTGGCCGACTGGGCCCCGGACCGGTGGCCTTAGCCAGCGCCGCCGCCGCCATCAAGAGAGGAGAAGGGGAACGCGCGGAGAAGAAGAAGACCTCGCCGCCGTCCCCCGCGCCTGCACGGACACCAGCCGGCGCTGCAGCAGCCGCGGCAGCCACCTCGTCAACCTCCACGCCAGTCGTACGGGGCCGGACCGCCGGCCTGCTGCAGGTGCGCCGCCAACACGAGGAGGGAGAGCCCCGCCGCCACCATCACAGCCGGCCGGGTGGCCATGCCGGCAGCCAGCTTCGGCGGCGGCGCGGCGGGCGAGGAGGAGAGGGGTGAGAGGGAGGCGGCGCGGCAGGGCTGCCCGAGTCGCCCCGCGTGGGGGAGCGACGCGGGCGTCAGTGGTGGAATGTTCGTCAATTTGCAATTTCTCCAGTTCCTTGTTTGGATGCCAATAGCCTAATGCAGCATTAGCCTTGTTATATGAACATTATTTGAAAACACGAACAGGATTGTCATTTTTATGTGGTTGGCACTTGGCCGAATGCCTCAAGAGTATTCTAACTTCTTTCTTAAAGTAAAGGAACAGAATTCCTAGAATTTGTTAAGTAATGTTACGAAAGGAAACGAATCAAAAGGAAAGAAACATGAAAGGTTCTTATTACTATGGGCAAAATAAAATTACTACTTTGCCTATGCAGACTACAGCTTCTAGTTCCTCTGCTTATGTAGATGCCATCACCAAAATAATTAACTAAAGAGATGTCTTAAGCTCATGGCTTCCTGATGTCTTCAGGGTGCTGGTCCTGCCCTTCGTCCTCATCTGCCGGAACTTGTTAGTTGTATGCTTGAATGTTTGTCAAGTCTGGAGGATCAAAGGTTGAATTATGTTGAGGTATGCTAATTTTCCCCACTTCTATAAGGACTGATGATGATGATGTTGCACGTGTATATCTGACAGATGCGATATTTTACTCACTCCTGCCTTTGGATCAAAGATGCATGCAGGGAATGTTGGCATCAAAACTGATAAGCTTGAAAGCTTGCGTATAGCTGTGGCTAAAGATTCTCCAATGTGGGAAACTCTTGATATCTGTATAAAAATTGTTGATAAGAATTCACTTGATCTATTGGTTCCTCGCTTGGCTCAAATGGTTAGATCAGCTGTTGGCTTAAATACAAGGTTAGGATTGCCTGTACAATCTTATTCATTATATCCTCAAATGCTTCATTTCTCACTACTTCAATGTTCCTTTCTGTCTGATTCCAGGGTTGGTGTTGCTAGCTTCATAACCTTGTTGGTGCAGAGGGTCATGGTTGACATCAAACCATTCACAACAATATTACTGAAGTTATTGTATACTGCTGTTCTGGAGGAAAGGAGTTCTGCCGCTAAAAAGGCTTTCGCGTCCTCTTGTGCAACTGTTTTGAAATACGCTAGTCTTCCCCAGGCTCAGAAGCTTATTGAAGATACTACCTCTCTGCATTCAGGTGGGAAAAACGATCAGTTATCTGGTGCAATTCTTATTAAAGCCTACTTGAGCAATGCAGCGGATATTCTTGGTGGATATAATGCGGTGGTTATCCCTGTAATTTTTGTGTCGAGGTATGTGAAGGACACATTTATCTACCTTGCATTTTCTTGACTCCTAGTATTTCAAATATTCATAATGCCTTCAGTTTAGTTGAAATACAGAAACCTTTCCATGTGTATAAACAAAACTTTGTTTCAGGTTTGATGATGATAAAGACACCAGTGCTTTATATGAAGAACTTTGGGAGGATATTCCTACTAGTGAAAGAGTAACCCTAACACTATATTTACCAGAAATTGTATCTCTTTTATGTGATGGCATGTCATTGTCATCATGGGCTGGTAAAAGAAAGGTACAGTCCTATTTCATAATTTGCTTGTCCATATGCATATCAGATAATAATAGTTAAAAGTTCTGTACCTTGTAATATACTTACTGTACAGCCTTCTCCTTCCAGTCAGCCAAGGCTATAAAGAAGCTATGTGATATTCTTGGAGAACCCCTATCAGCACACTACCAGAATATTCTCAAATCACTTTTGAAAGAATTGCCAGGTCGATTCTGGGAGGTAATTCACACTATCATTCATTTGTTCATGGAATGATAAGTGGATTATCTGCTTATACATTGTTTTGGAAATTTATCCATGTCTTGGTTGTTGGTACATAATTAATTTTGTTCCCTTACATTTTTCAACAGGGAAAAGATGCTATTCTGGACGCATTGGCTTCATTGTGTTCTTGCTGTCATGTTGCTATAACTGCAGAAGACTCCAGCTTTCCAAGTGTTATACTAAATGCTGTGTGTGCTGCGTGCAGTAGGAAATCAAAATTGTACCGTGAAGCAGCTTTCTTGTGTCTACACAAAGTATTTTTCTTCAATTCTCATTTGCTTTTCGGAACCCATTTTCACTAGCAGATGCTGTAGTGTTATTTTTTGTTGGCCAGCGTTTTCTTTAGTGGACCAAAATTTTCTTTAATAAAACAAATTTTAACTGTTGCATAAATGTACCTTTTAGCATCATGCTAAAGATTTACTAGATTTTTTCTTGAGGGTGTTAACTTAAGGTTTGCAATGATATAGCCTTTTAGATACTATTTCAAAATTTTAGAATTGGTACCATTTACCTAGGGTTATTCTTTTTCATCATTTTTCAGGTGATTGTGGCATTCAGAGATCCAGGATTTTTCAATAGTGTGTTTCCAATGTTGTACGAGGTTTCTAACCAATCTGTCATTTCGAAGACAAAAGGCTCTGCTGGTGCGGGTGAGTCATTATTTTGAATATTTCATTCAGTTAATGACTATTCTTAACAAAAACCTTTTGTAATTGAATACAAGAATATGAATATCTGATGCTCTCTTTTATATGTTAGCTATTTTGTAGGATAACATATTTTTTAGTTCTGAGGACCTTTTCAAGAATAGCTTGAAGCTTGATGAGGCACTTCCAGATTAATACATTGATACCCTTCGTGTAGCAACATTTCATTTACAGAGAGGCTTAGGATATAATTTTCAAATTTTGCTCTAGTATGGAATATGATCATTCTAATTTGCCGAATTTGTTATCACTGATTGTCTTTCTGAATCAATAAGCGAAGCCTCAACTAATCCTGACTTGATCTTACTGCTATGCAATCATCTTATATAATCTATCTCTATTGTATCTCCAAATACTTCTTTCACTCCTTTAAAATTTATGTATGGGTTATTTTCTGCAGAACTAGATGAAAGTGAATGTGCTTCTTTTTCTCTGGATAAAGTGCTCAATTGTGCAACATCTTGCATCAGTGTCGCTTTTCCACAGGATATTATCAACCAAAAGAAGAATGTTTTAGAACTAATATTGAATTCTCTCTCACCTGAGGAGAGTTGGCAAGGTATGATATATGGGATCCGTAATATAATTCTAAACATCTTTTGGATGCTTCTGTCTCATGGTTGCAAATCATCATAGCAACGCTCATATTATTTTTTTCATGAACAGTTAAACTATCATCCTTCTTGTGTATCAAAGAGTTGTGCCTGAAATTTCACAGTTCTGGTGATAGTAGCACATGGCCTCAAGACACAGCTTGCTTGGTTCAGGAGGTATATCCTGTAGTTTGTTTGTCTCTATATTCAGCTTCAGGTTGCCGTTGGTTTTCATTGCTTCTGACATATCTTTTCTGTTTAATTTTTTCAGTTATTTCATTTGGTATCACCAAAATTAGTAGACTCCATAAGATTAGTAAAGATTGCTCAGGTAATTTTCTCTATGTCTAGTCCTCCCTAGCTGATGTTGAAATATATTTGCCTATTTTTTGTTACCATCTCATAACACCTTTACCCGTAGATAATACGTTGTCTTCCTGCTAATGGATAATAATTAACACTCACTTTAGTTTAAAATATGTGCCTATAACATGTCTTTTTTTTATGGAATAAAGCATGTAAACATTGTAATATTGCACTTGACAGTTTAAAGCATGGTTTAATAGCATTGCCCCTTGATTTAGCAGTGTGTATACTTGTCTATGATTCCATTAATGATGATAAGAAAACTTGCTGTTTTCTGTCAAATTTAGTTGTCATGTGTCAAACAAGTAACTTCAAACCAATTATTGGAAAACTGCATAAGTGCTTTATGTAAGGAGCAAGATTATGTTTTCAGATAAATCACTCAGGTGACCATTAGGGTCCACTCTATTTCTTTAAGATTCAAATACGCATTTGTCTCATTGTTTAACTACCTTTTTTAATCTTCTCAGTTCTTAATTAAATGCCCCTGGCATATAATAATTAATACGCATTTGTCTCATTGGTTTTCCTGTTCGCTGGTCAGATGTCATGGCTGCTACCAGTGAAATTACTGGAATAAGTGCTGGCCAACAGAACCCTAGTGTTCCTGTTTCACAATACTTACATCATTCATTCTCATACACACGAATGGTGCAAAGGTTGTCTGGAATTGCCATAAGTAGTCCACAATATGAGGTTACATCCATGTAAATACTAATAGTAAAACAGACCCATGGCTGTTTCTTAACCAGTGGTTTTAGAAGCTGTTGTTGAGTTTGCCATTAGCCTTTAGTATCCAGACCAAACCTTATTCCTCATGAGTCACGAGTTATCACCTATTTGCAGGTTCACATTGCTGCATCGGAGTGCCTTCTTGATTTGAGCAAACTGTACAGAGACTTCCCATTGTTGGACAGAACAGAGGCCAAGTTCGAGGATGAACTTGCAGAGCTCTGCGAGTCTGAAAAAAGTGAACAAGCAAAGGCAATTCTGAAGGAATGCCTGGCCATTCTTAAAACTCTTCCTGGAGTAACCATGACGACGGATTAAAAACCAGCACAGGGAACATGTAAAGTTCCGTGGTGATTGTAAATTGATTCCGATATATGCATATAGTACAGAATATATGGCGAAGTTCTCCCTCCATTTTATGTCAGGGCAGGGCAAGAATAGGCACATGCTTCGATTAGTTTGCTCATTTGTTGCCTAGATCCTTAGCTGTGATATTCTGATACATGTGCGTGTAAGAAACACGAGATTGTCAGGCAGCAATAAACTGTTGCTGCAGCATTTCGCAGTTGTGCCGTCCATCCAATATAGAATAACGGTAAGGTACCAAAGATCAGATTTTTGAAAATTTTACTTCCCGTCGGCACAAAACCAGCGAGGCCCCCTTATTGCAACTGGTGAAGTATGTAGACTGTTCCAAAACTTTATCAGTGCATTTTGTTCCGTGTACTCGTTTCTGCAAACACAATTTGCGTCCAGGAAAACGCAGATTATTCAGAATCATCCAACGGCAGGCACAAATAGGGGCGTACCCAGTGCAGAGAGCTCTTGCTCTGTGCGGGGTCTGGGAAATGGTGTCGGTGGTAAGCCTTACCTTTATCTATGTAATGCGAGAAGACTTAACCTAGGACCTTCCGATCACAGGCGGTAAGACTCTACCGCTTATACCAGGTCCGCCCGTCCATCGGCAGGTACAAATGTGTGAATCAAATGTTTTTAGAGTATGTTCACCAAATTGCAAACTAAAGTAAAACTTTAGGACGATCATATGACTCGTCTGTATATATAAGTAAAAAAAAAACGTGTGATAACACAAACTGATACATTTCTCTTCGGAGTGCTTGAAAAAGGTTTTCAGGGACTCAGGTGGTTAGCTTGCGCAGAGCAGTCGCAGTCTTGGAACCCAGTGGCCTGCCCAATTCCTTGGAAATGTAATCACAAGCCTCCATGAGCTTGTTGAGGTCGACGTTGGTCTTTATACCCAGGCAAACAGGGAAAAATACATCCTAATTAATTACTCCTTAGTATGCTAAATTCTGTCTAAAACGACTTTATTTTTTAGTATGGAGAGAGTAATATTTCAAACAAATCTGAGCCATTGATTTTTAAAAATTTTAAATTAATTAATTGATTAATTAATATGAGAAAAGAAAAAAAAGTATTCTCAAATCCCCCTTATCACGGCATGCATAAGTGGACGTGCAGCTATAAAATCCCCCTCATCACGGCATGCACAAGTGGACGCCGTGAAGCCATTGATTTCTCAAATTCTCCCAACTCTATTAATTATGTATAATACAACTATCACTCCTATTGTATGATGCATATGAATCTGTATTTTTTTTAAAAAAAAATTGTTCATTTTGCATACAGTGTGATGCTAACGTACATGTTTTTTCTTTAAAAGTGATCAAAAACTTTTGGCAGATACATAGTCACATTAAAGCTGTACACCGATCACGTTATATAATCAATTAAAAAAACTCTTATATGTGCTGTCACGTATGTAGATTTAGGAATAAGAACTTACATACAAGCATAAAAAATGGTCACGGTCATGTACGAACATGGATTTGGCAACGAGACATTTACGGTCACGTATACGTGATTCGAGAATGAAATTACATGCACGAAATAATGCTCACGGCAGCTATGGCTAATTAAATTATTCCATGTCTAAAGTTACAAAATAAAAAAGGGATTTGCTAAATTTCAGGTGCCTGAATTTTAGTTTTTTTCAGGCGATGGTTATTGCATATATTTTATACTAAAATTGCAGTTTTAGTTCTTTGCAATTTCTGTAGACACAATCTGTGATTTTTGGTTCCGAGAATGAAAAACCTGCTAGACAAAACCACAAACGTGACAAAATCTGATATGTGTTGGCACAAGATAATTCAACAATTTACAATTATTTCTATAGTCAGACAAGGACAAAAATTTAATATGACACAAAGACAAATAATAAATCATAAAAGTAATAATTTACTTGTACTAATTGGTAGTACAAGAGTGTTGTCTGAAATCATCTTAAAATTTAGGCACCTGAAATATATGAGAAGTGATAAAAAAATTACTATATCTAATATATCACACATGCATCAATTAGATCTAGAAAATAAATTTTGTATCTAAAACTTTCCTTATGTATTCTATTTTACCAAATTTAAAATCAAATAAATATATATTTCATCTATTATCTCCTAGGAAGTAATAGATGATTCTAACCGTCTGATCTAATTAAATGAACGGCTCATAATCAATAGAGGGTACCATAGCAAAGCCCACCTGTGTTTGGCAGTTTAGAAATCAGAACTCACTGGTGTTATGGTTTCGGAGGAGCTTAAGGAGCCTCCTGCCGAGCTGCCAGGCGTAAATGGGTCGGTCTGTCTCCTTGTTTGCTGTTGAACTTTTTGAATCTGGCAATGGGCTTTCCTAGTTAAGTTAAGCCTTGGTTTTCTTTGTCTTTTGGTCTGTGGATATCTTTAGAGCATGTACAATCCACAGACAGCACGGCATGTTGTCGGTAAGTTTTTGAAATCCACGCATATATAGCTAAATAGATAGATCATACAATGGTTCGTCTATTTCACTGTCTACAAGTTGTTTAATAGTTGCATGTAGTCACGATCAAGTATGAATATGATCCTTGTACATCGGTTTGTTGTTAGTTGATACAAAACAAATCAAGCATAATTAAGTTAAATATGATTATAATATTTTTTAGACTAGTAATTCTGGCACCATGATCAAACATAAATATTATAGACAAAGCATCATTATAAATAGTATATTAATATATTTATATAAAAATTCACACTGATACGAATAACAAACAATTTCTATAAAAATATACCGAAGGCTACAAAAACAAAATATATAACAAATATTCAAAGTGTAACATATGTTTTTATCACTTCTAGAATATAATCTGATCAAAAGGAACCTAAATAAACTTGAATCATGATTTTTGGATTTGATTTCGATTTTAAATGGATTTTATAAGGTTGAACCCATTTGCACATTCTTCAGATAAGGGAAGAAGCTAATAAGGATTTCACGGACGTAGCATGCACACGGGATCAACGCGTGCAGGTCGATTTCTCGGAGCACGGGCCGGAGCCGTCGACCAGTGAGAGGACAATCCTGCCTCGGCTGTTGCGCGTGAAGGGGCTCTTTGCAAATGCTCTGTCATACAGACGGCTCATTAAACAGCGTTGTACGTGCCCTTATATATACTGCATTTGTCCCGAAAAGAACGCAATACGTGTCATGAAAAGTGGTTCACGTTTGATTAAGTTTTTAGTAAATAATATTCATAGTTATATATTTAAATTAACTTATTATAAAAATATATTTCGTAATTAATCTGATGGTATTTATTTGGTATCATAAATATAAATACTTTTTTTATTTATAATTGGTGTACTAAAACGTGACACTGTACTATAATTATATTCTTTTGAGGACGAAAGTAATATATAGGAAATACGAAAAAGGTTATTTGTCTAGAAAAAGGCTGGCCGAGTAAGAACAGCGATGCTCTATCTCTATGTATTACTATATTGCAGCGATCTTGAAAGGAAGGGGAAAAATACATTGGTGTGTGTTGAAGCAGAGGTACGGTATGGTGATCTATTTGTGGATGCTGCTCATGTACGTATAGGGCTTCGACGATAATACTATTTGTGTCTGCAGTCGGGTTGGATCAATGCCGGGTAGAGACTAGACCCAGCAATGACCCGCATCCTATCCCTGCCGAGTGCCCGAGTCTAGCCTTGACCTGACAGTGGTATCTTCCTATCACTACTGGGTTTTGGAACCGTTAGTGATAGGCAAGCCCAACACTATCAATTACCCGTTGCCTAGTGTGATTGCGAAAGTGGTGCCGGGTTTGCACCTAGCAGCGATCCACGGATCTGAGCTAGTGAAATATGAGATGGCAATATTCGTCCACATATGATATGATTTTAACGGACAAATTATTCCATGTATTTATCTATTCTATCATACTAGTGTTAATGAAATTATTTTTTCAAGAGAACCCAACCCGTTAACTGCCGGTCTATGTATTAATAGAGAAGATGAAAATGCAATAATAAACACCGTACCATTATTACATCACAATGACCACCAACACCAACACCAACACAAAACCCCGAACATAAACACAAAAACTACCACAACAACTTCCAACCCTGCACCAAACGTCCAAACCTGTAGCAACAACCATTGTGGGAAGGAGTTCTCTAATTAAAGTGATGCCTCCATGGAGGATACGTCATCCTCGGACACCGCCAATGCCAAACAGAAAATCTGTGCATGGTTTTCCAACCGAGAGCCCTCGAGCAAAAGAGAGATAGACTTCACAACAAGCCTCCAATGAGGAAAGAGGCGTCAAAGACGTCTCCATTCAGCTTCAGCATGGCAATCACATATATGTGGAATTACTTTTGAAACTTATATATCCTGCCTGTACACACTGTATATGAAACTGAAGATACAATTATTATATATATACATGGGATGAACGATGGCCGCGCGACCCTTGCCCGCTAATTTAAGGCTAGCTAGACAATGGCACATACGACATGCATGTACATGGGGCACAGCTCAAGCATCAGGGTCTGGAATGAAAGGACCAATGCAAGGACATACATGAGAGCGAGAAGATGCGTGATGAACTCCCCACCAGTGCTTAGATGCTCATAGTGGGAAGCCGCTCCACACCGAGGCGCGGTGTAGTATGCCATCTCTGCCCACACCGAAGCGATAAGCTCCCAGCGCTCTGTTTCATCGCTGATGCTAATAATGAGCTCCTGGGCCAACTCACTTGCACGCGGCAGCAGAAACAGTGCTCTCTGCAGGAATTTCTGCACGCGTGATCTTGTCAGTTCTTGATGCTGTTCCTGCTGGTTCTTCGTTCTGTCGAAAAGCTTCCTAACAAAGTCATTGATCTCTATCTTCTTCTCGCCAGCTAAGGTTGCCCTAATCGCGTGATGATCTATGTCATGTACTAACTGGGACTTGGTAGTGAGCAT